AAAAGACGTCTTTGTCCTCTAATGAAAAGTTTAAAAATTTCAGCTCTCTTAAAAATTAAAATGTTTAAACCTTGGTTCAAGAAACTATTCTGTTGTGCATCTAAGTAGAAAATCAACCACCAATTCGAAGACTGAATTTACAGCTCACTTCTGTTGTTCTCCTTGAATAACACTTTGTTGATGTTCTACATGGGTCATTTTCAACCATGGCTGATGAAATACTCTAAATATCCATCTTAAACAGTGACTGCATTAACTCAGATATGCTTCATCAGAAGATATACTAGAAATCAAAAGTGATGCAGCAATCTGCACAGTAATGCAGAGCTAAGAAACCCCAAGTTCCAGTCCATATTTCAGTGTGTAACTCCTGTGTGTTACAGGAGTGGCTGTACCTGAGCATCCCAGGGGATGTCAGAGCTGATCCCACACCAGCTCCCTGCCGTGCTGCAGGAGCAGAGGAGGTACCAAAGGTACCAAAGCTGTGCTCTGTGTGTCCCCTCAGAGCCCAGGGCGCTGCAGGGCTGTGCCCAGCCCCGACACGGTGGCACTCCAGGATGTGCCAGCCCCGGCACAAGGACAGATCCCTGAACAGGAGCTGCCACCTGCTGGCACAGGGACAATCTTGGTGTCGTGCCAACCACGGAGACCTGGGTTTTGGGGTGTCCCTGCACCGTGGCACTGGCTGGGGCTGCTCCAGCAGTGCTGCTTTCACCCTGGGACACTCACCCTGCTGGGAGCTTGCCCAGTCCTCAATCCTGGCTCTTGCCAAAGGTGCTCCAGCTGTAGCTGCTCTCCACAGGCTTTGTTCCGTGTGTTTGTGCCAGGGAAATGCCACCTCCAACCCTGCTCAGCTTCCTGTGGCCACGATGGACCACAAGATCAGGTGGTTCTGGTGTGGCACAGCTGGACTTGTGCCCCAGGGGATGTGTGCCACACACAGTGGGACAGTGTGACCGTGTTCAGGAGGGGTCTCAGGTTGAGGGAAGAGATGAGGATTTGACTCCATGTTTCAGAAGGCTTGGTTTATTATTTTATTATATATATTACATTAAAACTATACTAAAAGAATAGAAGAAAAGGTTTTCTCAGAAGGCTAGATAAGAATAGAATAAAAAAGAATGATAACAAAGGTTTGTGGCCCGGACTCTCTGTCTGAGCCAGCTGACTGTGATTGGCCATTAATTAGAAACAACCACATGAGACCAATCACAGATGCACCTGTTGCATTCCACAGCAGCAGATAATCATTGTTTATATTTTGTTCCTGAGGCCTCTCAGGAGAAAAAATCCTAAGGAAAGGATTTTTCATAAAAGATGTCTGTGACAGGACAGGATGCCTTTGTGCAGGGGGACAGGAGCAGAGTGAGGAGGTGGGGGGGACCATCAGGTCAGAGTCACTTTTCTGGGATCAGGAAAGATGTGGCTTTGAGCTCTTTGGGAAACTTCAGGCCACACCAAGATTGTCCCTGATAACATCAAACTCAGCTGTGCTGAGAGAAAAGCCTGGAGGGAACAGGGAAAGCCTCCTGGGAAGTTTGCTTCCTTTGCCTCTGGGAAGCCTCAACACCAGGGAAAAGCGTGGGCTGGGGGCTGTGAGCCCACCCCAAAGCCCCCTCAGCCACTGGGGAACCCTTGCTCAGTGGGACTCAGCCCCTTCCTGCTTTCTAAAGGAGAGAGGAACAAAAGAGGAGGAGGGGGAAGGGAAAGGTCTGAGAGAAAGTTCTTCCAAGTTGTCGGGAAGAGAAAAGCCCTATTCAGGCAGGAAGAATGCCCGGTGGAGCTGGTCACTAAGCAACCCTCAGCAATGTGGTATGGCCTGAGGGACAGGCAAGGAACAGAACTGCCTCACTGCCCACCCACAGCCATCAGGGGCAGCCTGCAGGGCCTGGGGACAGGGGACACCACCAGGGCCACAGTGCAGAGCCACCATGAGGGGCTGAGGCACCCAGCAGGCCCAGAGCTCCTGGGTGCAGCTCTGGATGGGGCCCAGCCTCACTCAGGCTTCCCTGTTTGCTGCTCAGGAAGGGTTTCTGGCCTGCTGCAAAGCCAGTGGCTCCCTCTGGGCCCGTCATTCCCACAGGGCCGCACCATTCCCAAGAGAGGCATTTGGGGCAGCTCCCTGCTCCCACAGACATTGGGGACAGCTCCCTGCTCCCACAGGCATTTGGGACAATTCCCTGCTCCCACAGGCATTGGGAACGGCTCCCTGCTCCCACAGACATTGGGAACGGCTCCCTGCTCCCACAGACATTGGGGACAGGTTTTGCTCCCACAGGCATTGGGGACAGGTTTTGCTCCCACAGACATTGGGGACAGCTCCCTGTTCCCATAGACATTGGGAACGGCTCCCTGCTCCCACAGACATTGGGAACGGCTCCCTGCTCCCACAGACATTGGGGACAGGTTTTGCTCCCACAGACATTGGGGACAGCTCCTGCTCCCACAGGCATTGGGGACAGCTCCCTGTTCCCATAGACATTGGGAACAGCCCCTGCTCCCACAGGCATTTGGGGACAGCTCCTGCTCCCACAGGCATTTGGGAACAGCCCCTGCTCCCACAGGCATTTGGGGACAGCTCCTGCTCCCACAGGCATTTGGGGCAGCTCCTGCTCCCACAGGCATTGGGGACAATTCCCTGCTCCCACAGACGTTGGGGACAATTCCCTGCTCCCACAGGCATTGGGGACAGCTCCCTGCTCCAACAGACACCATGGGCTCCTATGGCCACGGCAGCCAGGCACAGCTACACCCTCTCCAGGGAAGCTGAATTCTGCACTTGGATCCTCAGTGTGGGTGGTTGTCCTTCACAAACAAGCTCAGTGAGACATGAGAAACTGCCCGGCCTCTCTGCAGCACAAGGAAAATGGGGAAAAGGAAATCAAGCCTGACCAACCCTGCTGACAATTCCAGCTGAAATTCCTTCCTTGGAGCCCAGGGAGTCCCTGGAGACACTGCTGCCCCCAACAAAAATGCTGCAGAAATGGAAAAACACTCCCAACCAGCAGGTCTGGTGAGTGTGCAGCTGGTTAACCCAGGGACATGCTCTGGACCTGTGGGACACTGGACGTGGCTTTTTTGCCTGTACAGTGTCATGGGGGAAACATCCAGCCCTTCCTGCATTTTTCTTGAATATCTGACACACCTGGAGAGCAACTGCTGGGACAAGGGCAGACTCACCAGGTGTTCACCCACTTCCTCGGGGAGGTGCTGGGCTGGTGCTGATCCCTGCCCTGCAAGGTGAACAGGTGGGGGAGTGTGAAAAATGCATGTATTTTATGATAGGCTTTTCACAAATATTAAAATGAATATTATATGTGTTGTGTTAGAAAGGAATGCTGTATTAATTCTCTTAAGCAGTGTGTTAAATATAGTTTTAGGTTATAAAAAAATGTTAAAATAGAAACGATGCTCTGTAGGGTATTTTTTTTTAAGGAAAGGACTTGCAGTGAGATTGCAGCCACAGGACACCTAAATGTTTCAGAGAAAAAGAATTTATTGCCCTCTTATCAGAAGAAACAAACTTCTTCCTGCCTCAAAGACGCTGTTAGGATTCAGAGGAAGAAGCTGACAATCAGACAGAATCCTGTGTTTGAATGGAATTTATGCAATCTCGTGTATGAGATGTATGAACATGCAACAGGCTATTGCTTTTAAGGGTTAATCCTCTGTTAATGTGGGTCCTTTTTCGAGCTCGTGCTGCCCAGAAAAAGGTACCCGGACATCTTTGTCTTTATTGTCTCATATTGTCCTAATTCAATTTGTCCAAATTATTATTACTCTAATTGTATTACTATTTTTATAACCATTTTGTTACTATTAAACTTTTAAAATTTTAAAAACAAGCAATTGGCGTTTTTCACAGGGATGCTCAGGTGTGTCCACATAAGCTGCAGAACTTCTCCAGGTAATCTCATTGTCCCTCAGTGCTGTACTTCCCTGGCTTTGCCATCTGCTGTATCTCAGCCTTTAAAGCACCAATTCTGGGTACATTAAATAACCACAAGCCACAGGGCTGCTGAAAGATCAGCCTGGCCAAAGCAGTGCCATTTATTTTGCTTACAAAACCCCTTCCAGGAGGCCAACACACCCCAGGTGTGCTGGCTGCAGCTGGGCCCCTCTCAGCACCGTGGGGGACAGGCCCTTCAGCCAGCAGCAATGACACATGGCACCCATCCCTGGACTTGGAGAGCTTCCACCTCTCCTCCCAACAGGACAAACACAGCTGGGAGCCAGGCATGACCAAGTCCAGCTGTGCAAGGACTTGGCACATCAGGTCCATGCCACAAAATTCACATTTTGTGCAGCCAGGGGAGCCCTGGGGCAAGAGGCAGCAGGTACAGGAGGTGTGCTGCACCATGGAGAGCAGCAGCCTGCCCTGGAGTTGATGGCAGTGCTCCTCTGAAGTGTCAGATCAAGGCCATTCTAGGTAGCAGAAGTGAAATTCATTCTCTCCCAAATTGGTCACCTGGATGTGTCCAGTCCATCCTTTTTATCTCCAGGGAGCAGAGTGAGTGCAGCCCCCTCCTCCCAAGAAATAAAGTCAACCTGAAGCAGAATCTGTGTTTCCACCTCCATCCATTCCAGCTCCTCAGGGAGTTGTTTAGACAACATCCAGCTCCAAAATGGGCATTGCAAATGGAGAGGATCCACCCAGAAGAGAAGTGGCCCCAGCCTGAGGAGCATCTCCTTGAAGAGAGAGAAATTACACACAGGACCATATCCATCCTGGATTCTGCTCTCATAATGCCCATGCCTACAACAACCAGCAAGAGCCCTGCAGCACAGCCAGGTGGGATTTATTTGCAGGCTGCATTTCCTGTTGGTCTTTGGGTCTGCAGCATTCACACATTTGTTGAAGTGTTGTGAAATTACAGAGCTGCTGAAGGAGGGAAATGTCTTTGTGGGGATGAAATGTGCCTGGCAGTGCAGAGCTGACCTTGGCTCTGGTGATCCTCTTCTGTTCCCTGTGAGGTGTTGTTGAGATTTCCCAGGCTGCAGTCAGGTTCTCAGGTAAAGTTTCATTATATTCTCATCATGAAGCCTTTTCCACAGCTGCTTCTCCAGGTTGAAGTCATGGTTAATGTAGAAAATCAGCTTTTTCCAGTCCTTGTCATAGTAGTGATCTGAGTACTTCTCATACCCCTCTGTGATGTAGCCATAGGCACTGACCTGGGGAAGATGCAGGGCTCACTGGGCATGGGATGGAGGGAGCAGGGGGAAATACAGGACAGAGATGCCAGCTGGGACTTCTCTGGGGGTCCAGAAGGACCAGAGTGTGAGCACTGGCTCCAGAGATCCTGCTGTGAGCACTGGCTCCAGAGATCCTGCTATGCCCTCACTGCCTCCCCAGGAGATGATGTGCTCCAGGTCACAGCAGGCATCACCACCTCTATGGGAGCTATTTTGGGGCTTCTCATCTTCAGCTCCTCCACAGCTGACATGAGCCCATACACTCTCTAGGCACACAGCAGCCAGCCCTGCTCTCCTCTGTCCCCTGTTCCCACTTCCAGACCTGCTCTGGGTGCAAGAATCACTGTGCCCTTACCTGGTCACAGAGGTGGAGGGCAGTCAACAGCAGGAAGGCCCCTGTTGTGGGTCTGTACAGCCTCCAGTAGTGCTTTTGCAAATTTTTAGACTTTAAAAACCTGCAGCAGGAGAGAGGAAAGCACTGAGGGGTTGCTGGCTGTGGTGTTTCAAGCAGGGCACACCTTGTGGCTCATGTGGCTGATGTGGCATCTCCCCTCCTTGCAGCAGCCTGGGGCCTCTTGAGGCATTTCAGAGAAGCCACAAATGTGCTCAGAACTCTCCACCACCTTCACTGCAACCTCAGCCCAGCTCTGCCCCAGCTTTGTTGAAGTGGTGGGTCTTGAGGTAGTGGGGGTAAAGGATCTCATAGGTTGAAGCCCCCTTCTCTTAAATCTGCCCTTTGCTCTGCAGTGCAGAGGTGGCTTTGGGGCTCCCTGGTATATCCTGCTCCCCACCCACATCTAGGAGTGAAAGGAGACACAGGGAAGGTGCAGAGGAGTCACAAACCCTGCCAGGAGCTGCACTGTGTCATGCCAGGAGTTGTTAGGAAAGCAGGAGTAAACACTGGGAAAAAATAGCATGGAGTGTTCTTGGTGCTGGAAAGGCCCCAAGTCAGAGGGGGCCCAAGGCAGAGCAGGCCGGGAGGGCTGGCCATCTGCTCCAGGGAAGGCAGGAGCTCCCAAGGACACTGAAGGGCACAGACAGCCAAAGCAGGGCTCTACAGGAGCTCCAGTGCCTCCTTCTTTCAGCCATGTGTGGCCCAGGATGGGCAGATCTCATGGTGGCAGTGGCCAGCACAGATCTCATGGTGGCAGTGGCCAGCAGGCTGTGGAAAGGGTTGGAGAGGCACAGAAGAGCAGCAGCCAGGCCAGGCGAAGGAGATGCTGAAGAAGAGCCTGTCATGCTTGAGGGCACAAGGAACCTCCTGAGTCTAGAAGGAATCTCTGGAGAGAAAATCTGTCACAGAGCTTTCCTCCAAGGTGCCAGGCAATGGGGAACATGCAAGGCTGGTCCTGAACTATAGATCAACTGTTCTGGCACTTCAGCAACTTTCTTCTTACACCTAAAGTTGCAGCTGGCCCTGGGTCTCTTCTGGATGCAGAAAACCAAACAGTCTGATGGCTGTTGCTTCTCCAGCTCACAGGTTCTGGGTGTTCACCCACCATAAGCATCCCACTGCAGCACCACAGAGAGTTTCAGCTTGAGAGGTTGGCATTTCGTGAAAGAGGAGTAAAGAAATTTCTGGGGAAGGGGTATGGATAGGAGGGGTGTAGAACTTGGCAGGGAACAGCTAGGTAACAAAAAACCAACACGTAACTAAACTAAATCTAGTTGATCTAGTTGAGGTGTTAGAACATGGGTTGGACTCGATGATCTTAAAGGTCTCTTCCAACCTAGAATTTCTGTGATTCTGTGATTCTGTAAATAACAATAAAGGAACAAGTCTAGTTTAAAACATAAAATACAAAATGGGCAACCTGTGCTACTCTAAAGGCAGGGAAAAGGACAGCATAATGAAATGTCAAAATTACAAATTAAACAGCAAGCATATTAATACAACTAAAAAGCACACTACAACATCAGCAGAGCTCAGGCTGCTGGTGTGGCTGAGCTGAGGTTACAGGGAGGGAGCTGAGAGGAGAGGCCAGAGACAAAGAGAGATGGTGCTGGCCAGGAAAAAGGAGCCGGTTAGAGCACACTACCTGCAGCTCACCTGTTTTTCATGTATCTGAGGAAATCAGGGTGAGTCACCAGGTATTTGTCCATTGTGAAATCTTCATCAAATTTCTGCCGGGGCTTCTGCCTAAGGATAGGAATGGGGAGACTCAAGACAAGCAAGCTCCTACACCTCATCACAGCTGGAAAGGGTCAGCCCTGATGCACTTGGTGGTAAAAAACCACAAACACTGTGAAGATATTCTGTAGCATTTCCCACATTATGATAAAGCCTCCATAGCCTGTGTGCATTGCAGAGGAAGAGATCAGGAAGGAGAGGCAACAAAAGGAGATAGGAATATTGAAAGCATGTGTTTGTATAGGCAAAAATTAGTGAAACCAGGCCTTCATCCATGAGCAGGCCACACCAGACCAGCCAGCAGCAAGTGTTCATCCCCAAACGTGACAAAGCTTTCCCTAAGCTCTGGCCACACATCATTGAAATCAGCTGATGTTGGGGAAGATGAAACAGGAAAGCCTTACAAGTATGATTGCCTGGCAAAAGATTTTGAGCATATGGAAACTATAAGCGAGATTAAAATGAAAGCAAGCTTTGAGATCCCTCAATTACTGAACAACTGGAAAACAATGGTGTGGCCAGCTGAAGGTGATCCCCTTTTGATGGAACAACACCCTCTGCTTACAGACAGACCCAAGGGTCAGAGCAGACCCTACAGCTTGGCAGAAGGGGCCCAAAGAGGAGTTTTTAGGGTTTAAAATGTAACCCAGTATGGTAATGTAGTGATTCTTATAGGCTGTATGTAAATGCTGTAGGATTTGTATGTTGTGCTAGATTGGTTAGTGAGAATCAGAATATTCAACACAGAAGAAGATTTATGGTATTGTAATGGGAACTTTGCTGTCTTACCCCTTCTACCCTCTCACCCTCTCTCCCCCTCTCTTCTCTCGGGCCTGCTCTGAGCTGTGGCTGGCAGCTCCCAGCAGGGCCCTGCACTCAGGCCCTTTGCAATAAACCACAAGTTCCACAACCTAGATTCAAAAATCTCTCGTCTCTGTCCTTCCCACCCCGCAGTGCCCCTACCAGCTACCTCTGAAGGAGGTGTAGTGGCTACAGCAGTGCTCAGAGCTGTGCAGGAAATGAGAGATTTCTTTCTGCAAGTCTGCCAGGGGAGGGAGGCTTTACCCTGGCCTGGTCCTCACAGGGCTGAGCCCTGGGAGAGGCAAAGAGCCCCACAGAGAGCTCATCACTGAGGGGCAGAGGGGGCTGGAGTTGGCTTTACCCGCTGAGGTTCAGGAATCCTTTCCTGATGTCCTTGTTGAACAGCAGAGCCTCCAGCCACTCATAGTCTCTTGCTCCCTCCAGGAAGTGAATGTATCTGACATGCTAAGAAGAAAACAAGTGAGCATTAGTGAACAGAACCTCCAAAACAATGCAAGCAAACATCTTGGCTCACTGGGTTTCTTGGGCACACATCTCCAGTCTGTAGCTCTCAACCAGCCCACAGTAGCAGAATGGAGAAAACATCTGATGTGCAGCTCCTTCTGCATGCCACAAGGCTGTGGATGTGACAGAGAGAAAGCCAAATAAGCTTTCCCAGGAATTGTTCTGGGGAGTTTTGAGAGGGCTGAGAGAAAAAATTAAAACAATCTTGCAACTGGTGCTTTGAACAGTTGTTTTCTCATAAGATTTTTACCAAAGGGTGTCTGCTTAATTAGCCAATGGTATGAAGGGGTGTTAATTAAGTGACCAATCAAGTATCAGAACAGCGTATAAAAAGAATGGGTTTCTAATAAACTCGAATTAGCCTGCTGAAGAGAATTAATATGTTTCCTTCACTACTGTTCTTGACTCAAAGGGGACACAAGGCTGGGGTGGCATTGACACAACTTGCCCTACAAACACTCACTCTGAGCCAGGGCAGAGCAGGTTCCCTCCCTGAGGGTAATGCTAAAGGGCTGCCTCAGCCCCTCTGCTCCTCGTGGAAGGAGCAAAACTGAGGCACACAGACGAACAGCATCCTGTTAAAGCTGTGCATGCACACAGCAGTGTACACTCACTTTGTCCCGTGGGATGTTCCTGAACCCTCTGTGTCCCAAGATCTGAAGAGAGGAAACCAGGGAGTAGGCTGTGAATCCATAAAAGGAAGTTTTTGTTCCCACATCTTTTTCATAACCCTTGATTAGAGCCCCGCTCAGCCTGGCAAAGGAAATGAAACAGAAGAGCAGGGTTAGGTGACCACTGAAACCCCTCCCATGCACATTCCTGACAGGAAAAGACAGTGTTAGCCCGGAGGAAGGGCAGACTAGCCCCATTCTGATTGGCACCCTGATCTGCAGGACAGCCCCTGCTGTGGAGATGGCTCTTTATGGCTCATTTGTGACTTTGGATGGCTTTGGATATTGAGTAACTCTCCAATTATTTTTGGACTTTTTATCTCCTGCCATCCATCATTTTGGCACTTGGGAATGAGTGGAATACTAGAAGAGATGAAGTGATCCAGCCCCAGTCAGGGGCTACCCACAGTGAGCTATCTGTGCCTCTTCTGAGAAGGAAGGCAGCCTTACCTGAAGACATAGTCATGGGAGTCAATCTCCTGGCCCATTCCAGAGTTATTCAGAATTCCTCCATTCCCCACGACAGCACAGCTGATGCACGTGGGCATGCTGCTGTCATGGCTGGCCAGGAGCAGCTGCTGGTGGGGCTTTGGGGGCAGCAGGGATATGACCTCCTTCACCACTGTGAAGCAAACACAGCGGTGAGTTATCAACAGCCTTTGGGATGGACACAGTGAAACCACCAGAATTTCCACCATGAGATCCTCCTAGACTGGTGCTTTGGATGGGGAGATGCTGCAAACCTGCAGGTTCCTGTTGGGAGTCTGAAAGTCCCATCCTGACAAGCCCTGAGGGACTCACGTGAATGATTGAGGTCCATGAAGCCATAGGGGGGTATAAAATGCTCCAGGCGGTTCCATTCACTGTCACTGAAGTGTCTCCTGTCCATGAAGAGTGTGATGTTGGGCAGGAAAAGATCCCTCAGCCAGGCAGACTTGGCAGCCCTGGCCCTCACTGATTCAGAGCAGGTCTTGAAAAACAAAAAGGAAGCAGTAATGATGAGCAGAGGTGATAAACCTGAGTGCCAGTGCTTGTGTGCCTGTCTGTGGTAGGACCAAAGGGAAACACAGAAACTCCAGTGCTACCATTTCCCTTGTGATCCCCTGTCACAGACATCTTTTATGAAAAATCATTTCTTAAGGATTTTTCCTCCTGAGAAGCTGAGAAGCCTCAAGAACAAAATGTAAACAGTGGTTATCTGCTGCTGTGGAATGCAACAGGTGCATCTGTGACTGGCCCATGTTGGTTGTTTGTAATTAATGGCCAATCACAGCCCAGCTGGCTCAGACTCTCTGTCCGAGCCACAAGCCTTTGTTATTATTCCTTCTGTTTCTATTCTTAGCCAGCCTTCTGATGAAATCCTTTCTTCTATTCTTTTAGTACAGTTTTAATGTAATATATATCATAAAATAATAAATCAAGCCTTCTGAAACACGGAGTCAGATCCTCGTCTCTTCCCTCATCCTCAGACCCCTGTGAACACCGTCACACCCACTGCAAGGGGCCCACACCCCCAGGGGCAGCAGACAAGGAGCTCAGTGGGGAGGCCATTCTTGGTGACCAACTGCACCATCCCACCTACCGAGGCTGGGGATGAGCTATCCAGCAGGTACTCGTCCTCAAAATCCCACTGTGGCTCAGATGTGAAGTTAACAGAGCTCAGTTTCCTCTTCTGTGTCACAGCAGCAGCCTGAGGAGTAGGTGGTACAGTTTTCATTGATGCAGGAGGAGTTTTGGGTTTTGCTTGGTCTGAGGATGTGCTGTTCTCATGTGCTCCCTTCACCCCAGAGGATGGTTTCACTGTTGCCTTCTCCTTGCCACCCTTCTCCAAGGGAAGTGGTTCCACTGTTGTCTTTTCCTTGGCTTCTTCCACCCATGGAGCTGGCCTCACTGTTGTTTCCCCCTTGTTTTCCTGCACCACAGGGGTTGTTTTCACTGTTGTCTCCTTGATTCCCTCCAACTGGGGTGTTGGTTTCACAGCTGTGTTCCCCTTTTCTTCCTTAACACTCATAACTGGTTTCATTGTTTCCTTCTGCTCCTCCTTTCCTTTTCTTGGCGTCTTCGCCATCACATCATTGAGTCTTGTGATGTCTCCTCCCAAAGTCACCTTTAAAATGCTCCTGCAGTTCCCATTATCAGAACAGTTCAAACCCTGTTGCTCTTGGGGGTCCACTTGTTGTGTCTCTGGGGCATGCTGGAAAATGTTCAATTTCCTGAATGCAATCAAAGGAAAAGCAGATACATCACACACACTTAACACTGAACACCCTTCAGCTCATTTCTAGTGCTCTTGACTCTGAGCCTCTCTCTGTGCTTTACAGTAATTTCATTTTAAGCTTTGCCAAAATGTTATTCAACTTCCTGCACCATTCTAGCCTGAATATTGCTTATCTCCCCACTGGGCAAATCCCAGAGGCACACATTCTTTCCTCAGCTCTTGGCACATGAAACATTCACTCTGGCAGTAGCAGCCAACCAGTACAGGGCACTGGGCACCGGGCAGGTCCCCTGGCACTGTCCCCAGAGCACTGCAGGGATGGTTTGGAGATCCTGGGCTCAGGACATGGCCCCACCATGGAGGCAGCCATCTGCCTCTCCCCTCTGCCAGCAGAGTCCTGTGCTTCAGCAGCAGAGCAGGAAGAGCTTCCAGAATTCAGGAAGGAAAGTCTGAGAAAAAATTAAATATTGTAAATTCAGGCAACCCCAATGAGGGGAGAGATGACGCATCTGACTCCATTGATATCAGAAGGATAATTTATTACTTTATTATGCTATATTATATTAGATAATACTAAACTATACTAAAGAATAGAGAAAGGATGCTTACTGAATGCTAAAAGGACAATAATGAAAACTTGTGACTCTTTCCATAGTCCTGACACAGCTTGGCCATGATTGGCCAATGAGTCAAAACAACTCACACCAGAATCCAATGAAACAATCACCTATGGGTAAAAAAATCTCCAAACACATTCCAAGTAAACACTATACACTATACTAAAGAATACAGAAAAGATACTTTTATAAGTATAAACATATAGTATATCTTTTTAGTATAAGATATAATAAAAAGATAATAATGAAAACTCGTGACCCTCTCCAGAGTCCTGACACAGCTTGGCCCTGATTGGCCAAAGAGTGAAAACAGCTCACAGCAGAATCCAATGAAACAATCACCTGTGGGTAAACAATCTCCAGACACATTCCACATGAGCACAACACAGGAGAAGCAAATGAGATAAGAATTGTTTTCCTTTTCTCTGAGGCCTCTCTCTGCCTTTCAGCTTCCCAGGAGAGAAACCCTGGGTGCAGGAATCATGTTTATAGAATGCGATTGCCACAGTGAAACTCACTTCTTTACCCTTCATCACCTCTTGAGCTTTTGAGGCCACAGGACACTTCTTTCTCTCCTCTGCCTTGGTCAGGTATTGCAAGGGCATCACACAGCACTCACCAGGCACATGTGTCTGAAGGCAGACACTGTGAAGCTGTTAAAATGCAAAATTTCTACATTTTTAGCACTTGCCTCTATTATTGCAGTGGCCCTGTTGCCTGATTCAGAGGCACAGGCAGGTACAAGGTTGTCACAGGAGGATAAATCTGCTGACAGCAGAAGAGCCACCTGCAACAAGACTGTGCTGAAACCCAGGGGAAAAAAATCAAGGCAGAAGTGGTGGAGTTGTGTCCTAAACATTCCCCCTTCTGGTGCATGGCTGGAGGGTAGAACAGGAAAAAGGAAGGTGAACAATATCCACAGCTGAGCTTTTGTGTGCAGCAAAGCTGTTGAGGATAAACCATGGCTGTGGCACTCTGGTCCCACCCCCCTGTTCAGCCTTTGCATGACACACTCGTTTGGGAATGCTGTGGATTGCTTCCGAAGTGAAAAATGGGACAAAAAGCACTCCTGCAGATAACAGGCTGCAGATAGCAGCTCAGTCACTGCTGAAATTTGATGGGTGTTGTACCACTCTGAAAGTGCTCAGGAAATGATCAGCTAAGGAGACTTTTAAAATCGTTTTTTATCAGATAAATATGTGAACCTTTACAAGGCTAGAAAAGAGAGCTTGTAGCACATGGCCTATCAGCTCTGCCTCTCCCATAATCATTAGCCAGCTTCAACCCAGTGTGCAGCATGTGCTTTCTGTCACAGGCTTTCATGTATAAACTTACTGTCACTGCTTACTGCCCAATAGGAGGAAAGATTTTTTATGGGCACTCTAAATAAAGAGAAATTTGGTAAGATAGCTCAGGCAGATCTTAAATCCCTTGGTGAATTTCCGGTGTATTTTTAAGATGATGTTTAAAACTTTGAAATAAAGCGCAGAAAACAAACGAAAAGGAGTTTCAATATGAGAAACCATCCCCCATTCCAGGCTTTCCCTGTTACTGTCTTGCAGGGCAGATTCCACCTCAGTCTGTTACACTTCAAATCCTGTGCCAGAGACCAAAATGTAAAATCAAGGACTCTTCCCATCCCAAAGCTTGCTCCCTGCAGCCAGGCCCACATGGCCAGGCACTGGTGCTCACACAGGACCCTGCTCTCCTGACCAGCATTTTAAACCCAGACAAATTGTCAAAGCAGCACGGTGGATTTCAGGCTCTAGAGTCCAGCTGGCAAACAACTGCAGAAGCTCAATGACATTTGCTGTCATTTTCCTTCCCTTTTACAAAGCCCAAGGACAAATAGAGGATAAAGCCATGAAAATGCTGCTTTGTGTATTCTGCGTGACATGCAGGGTACAGAAATAGAACTGCCACACAGACAACCACACACAGCTCATATCTTGTTGTGTTTTACTTAAGTTGTATAAATACAGGCATTTCCATTCTCTGAAACTACAGCAGAAGGAAATGGCTTCAAGCAGCTAAATATGGAGAGCCACTTCTTGTTCCAGCTCTGCCACTGATGGGCTCTGGGATCAAGGAGAAGTCACTTCTCTACGCCTCCTCCTTCTCTCCTTTCCCTCCCACCTCCTTTGTGCAGGTTCCAACCTCTCCAAATCTGACAGCTGTCCTCAAAGCGGGGTCTCGAGCTGCTAGAGCTGAGCTGAACTCAAGTCACCTCCAGAAGAGCTGCAGATGTTCCCAGCTTCACTCCTCCTGCCTGCCCCCATAGCAGCAGCCCAGACATTCAGCTGAGAACCAGCCCAGCCCAGCCAAGCCATTTGAGCTTACTGGGAGAGCTGGGACCAGCTGAGGGTGGTGGGGAGGCTGGGGAGGCTCAACACATCCACAAGCCATAGCTGTACTGGGAAAGGCTCAGGCGCCTGCAAGGGCTCATGCAAGGAGCAGTGCTCCCTGCCAGTGATGCTGGAGACATTTCACTGCAATTCCCTCCACACCTATCCCTGTAGGATTTACTTGACCATTTATGTAAAAGAGATAAAATTATATTATATACATTATTATATAAAATTATATAAAATAGATATCAAGATATCATGTCCACATGACATTGGTGTGCCAGTATGCAGCATATTTTGTGTTAGGAATCAGCTGCTGAATTTGCCATACATTCAAAGCCATCCCACCAAATTCACTGTCCACCAATGTAATCTGGATTAGGGCTGAATAAAGCCCTTCTGGGAGCCAACAGGAAAAGCAAATACTATGTAGTGCCAAAGTATGAAAACACGTAGCACTAGTGAAGCAAAAGCTGCTTTAGACAGCTACAAAAGGAAGCCCTGGAAAATAGTGAGCCAACAGAGGCAGGTTTTTGACTGTGGATCTTCCAACACCATGCTCTGCTAAAGTAACATGGTCACCTAACTCAGATCAGAAGTACAAATTTCAGGGTGAAAAAGACAGACAGACAGAAAGGGAGCACAAGCACCCACACCAGGCAGTGCACGCCACAAAGGAACAGGTCCCTTACCTGACAATCTTTGTCTTTGCCAAGTCAAACAAGGAGCTGGAATTGCCAAGGAAGAGGCAGAACTGTAATACAACAACGAGGCAAATCAGGGCTTTGGCAATTTTTGGGAGCTTTACCCTGGAGCAGTGCATGGTGAGGAACCCGTGAGCGGCAGAGGGCTCGCAGGCACTGCCTCACCAAGGGGTGTGGAAGGACTGGACTGGTTTTCCATCTGGATTTCCCACAATAAAGTGCACACCCTGTCTCCCAGCATTCCCAGTCACTGCACACAGATCCAGTTTCTCAGGAAGGCATCAGTTTTGTGCTGTTCCTATTTATCACCAGAAGCTTATTTACAAAGAGCGGGGAAAGGAAAGCCTTTTACTGCAAACAGTGGAAGTTTCTTGTGTTTTTCTTAATGACATTGTTCTGCCCTAAAAAAGAAACCTTTTATCTCTAACCTGGAAAAGGCATCACTGGGAATGCATGCAAAGTGTGGAAGTGACCATTGTTACAATCCAGGAAGCTTTCAGAGCACCATATGCCCAAGGTTTTACACATGACCATAAACAAATATTCTTCATGCAGTAATTGCTTGCAGCCCCAATCCAGGAGCAATCCTTGCCCCACAAATGCTGATGGCTAGATACACATCCATTTTACCTTGTGGTTGGGAGGCAACTCAACAAATCAAAGTAAGACTTGGTGCAAATCCACCACAGAAAAGAGGAGTTTGTGTTATGAAAATCTCCAGTCAGTGTGAAATCAATCTTTGGCAGTCCAGGGTACATCACCCCACCAGCAGAGGGAAAGATTTGGAAAGATGAACACCACACCCAGATAAATGTTTACTTCTACCAGGGATGTAGGTTTACAACTATTTTAACTTTTTTAAGTTGTTAAACATTAACCCTGAAATTTCAAGGGGCGATAGCCATATTGCTTCTTATGCATAGGCTGCTTTTGCAAGCTCTTATAAAAAATGAAGCTCAGATATAAAAAAAGCTTTTGCTGACAGTATCTCAAATCTTAGAAGCACTCACAGTGTTACTGAATACCCAGAGAACTGAAGGTGCCTGTTTTATATCACAGCAAAGCCAGTCAACAGGGTTCACAACTACAAGACTTTTTTTGTTAACAGGGGTCCCAAAGGGAAATTCTGGAGGCAGGAATCATTTTCCTTCAATCTCCTCCATGTAACATTACTGCAAAAGCAAGAGCCACAAGGGATAGAAAAATTCCAACAAGCAGAAAAATACAGATTTCTTTGCTTTTAAGGATCTGCACTGGTGATTGTGGAGAATTTGTCTGTAGCACTGTCTGTTCAGGAGGGATTGTGATTGTACTTGGGGGAATATCCAAATCTCTGACAAGCACATTAGCCAAAAGCAGCCTTGCTATTTGCAAAATAGGGCTTTTCACCTTCTTGGTGTGAGAAAAGGAAACCTAAGCCCCCCCTTGTCAGAGTACAGAGTTTCACTTCCTTGGAGCATCATTTCCTCACCCCACTGCTGACATCAGTGTCAGAACTGAGGCACCAGGCTGGTTTGCTCAAACATGAGGTCAGAGTGGGAAATGGGGATGTACAGGAACTCTCCAGGGATGACCTGGTGAAAACTGAGGTCAAGAGCAGAGCTGGTCTCTTCAACAGCTCTGTAAGAAATGAGATTCTTGGGATCACAGGGCTCCCAGCCCATGGGCAGGAAGGTACAAAGCAAAGAGTGCAAATGCAGAGGGCCTGGCCTCTCAAGGGCCACAGCATCCTTTTCCAAATGCTTGTTTCTCTGCAGTCCCACCTGCAATCTCAGGAGATGCTGCTTCATTTATGGTGTGGAGACTCCAAGCCCAGCACTGCTGGTGTGTCCAGTCTCAGCATCAATGCCCACAGCAGAAGTTCTTCCATCCTTCAGTACTGTAAAAACAAGATGACTCTTTTATTTAAACAAACTCCACCTGGGATCATTGAGTGAAGATGGTTTTCTGCCAGCCCTTTTGATCTCCAACATCCATTTAATTCCACGTGCACTTCACTCATCCTTAATTACATCCTGGACATATAAAAGGCACTTCACTCATCCTTAATTACATCCTGGACATATAAAAGGCAGATTTGTCTAGAGTGGTGTTTGGAGTTTTTTTGCTGTTTTTTTTTTAAATTCATAAACAAATTTGATTGTCATTAAATCCTATACTATGTGTGTTGAGGGTGGTAGCTGGCAAGTTGGCATTTGAACTGTGCCATAAACTTTTCTGTGTGCACGTTCTTCACCGGGCTGTGCACCAAATCTTGTTTGCTTGCCTGTGCCTTGTGTGCTTTCCACTCTCCCATGTCTCTGCTCCACAGAACAGAACATCACAGGATGTGCTCAGGAACAGAACTGTTCTACAGATCAATGAATCTTAGCTGCAGGATAAACTTGTCTTTCAGTGATGCCTACAACCTACCAAAACCAATGTTTGATTGGAAATCAATGGAATAAAGCTGCTAAAGAAGCTGGGGGTGTTTGGATACGTTCACAGTATTATTTGATGATGTAAGAACTGAGTTATAAGTGGGGGAGAAAAAGAATGACATTGCAGCATGCAGCTGCTCAGTGGTCATGCCTTGGGGCTAGCAAAGGCTTGGCAACCTTAGGTTCTTGTTTTTCCCTCCCTGTTCAGCAGTCATCTTCAGAAACAAATGCATTCAGGCTGGGAATCTGGAGGGGAAGAAATTACAAGGGAAAACTTTGAACAGCTGTTTGTCTTGTTTTTACCAAATGAAACTGATGGCCCAGAAACTCCCAAGCTTGCCATAATTCCACACTCACTGGCCATTTTCCAGCCAGTTCCTTCCCTTCTGCACCAAACCTTCTCTCAAAAACTAAACAAGCAGCCAGAGACAACAGTGTTTGTTGAAGCAAAGCCCCCACATCTGATACAATGGCACTTTCAAGAATGCCCAGAGTTCTGTCACAGAGCAAAGCCCCAGTGAAGTGTGCCAGGAGTGAGGGAGCAGCTTTGTGAGCCAACTGGTCTATTCTCTCCATGGGGTGAAATGCTCCAGGAGGGAAAGACACAGTGGTTTTGATGGTGGAATGAGCAAGTGGCTGCTCAGTGCCCACAGAGATTGCAAACCCTGTCAGCTTTCCATTAGTGCTGATTTGTGTGCTTGGTGTCCAGGCCAGCCAGCTCAGGCCCCTATAAAGAAACTGCCTTGGATCTGTGCAGGGCCAGTAGATGACATGGGTCCAAACCAGATTATTTCCCCCTTTCCCAGTTGGTAATGGGACCATGGGCAGGTTCCTCCAGCAGTGCCCACACCCCATGGAACATCCTTGACTGGAGCAATCACTGGGAGGTGAGGGCAAGGTGCTCTGAATCTGGCCCTGTTACAGGCTCTGGATGCTGGAACCTGGTTTAGTTCTTCCTGTAAGCATAGTGAGGACTTGGCTTTGAGTTGTTCCCTCTGGCCACAGCTCTGGGTGATAATTAACCTCCCTGAACAGAGAGGAGCAGACCAAGTCTGCCATCACACTGCCTTTTCTGCTCCTCAAGCTCTTCACATTCATCCCATCCCACTGAAATGCTCTGCTCCCAGCATTCCTTCCTCACACAATGCTGAGAACACTGATGAGCCTCTTCATTTGTGAGAATTTTCAAAAAACACAGACAAATACACTCCCAGCAACAATGGCTGGAAACATCATCTGGAGTTACACAGGCTGGAAAGAACCAGGGATCCTTTATCCAAATGCCTCCCTCAGCAGCCTTTTGTCTGTACCACCCCAGCAGGAAGCCTAGAACATCACCCCAGAGCTGACAGACAGAGAGACAGACTGACACCATTTCTGGGCTAAGATGTGGAATTTCCCCCCCCCCCCCTTTTAAAATTTGATGGAAATGAAGAAAAAAATTCTGTTCCTTGACTGGGAATCTCTCAGAGAGCTGGTCCTCCAAGGAGCAGGGCAGCACTGCAGACAGGTGAAGAGGTAATTTATGAAACTCATGGCTGGTTGGCCTCCCATCAGAAAAGCAGCTTCTCCAGCTCCTGTCCCTGACAGCTGCCAGGAATAGGAGCATTCAAGGACTCTCCACTGCTCCAGAGAAAGAAACACAAGAATCACAAAGCCCAAATTCCTCTCCATACCCCTGGCAAAAAAAAATTGCAGGCATATTATCTCAGCACGTCACATCTGGCAGCAAAACTCAGGCCCTGCAGAGAAATGAATTACAGAATCACATCTCTGTGGGGATCCACTAATTTTAGGGCCAGAAGTGAAATATTTCTTGGTAAAGGTCTTTCCCATACTCTTCCCACTGCCTTAACATCAGAAACCATTGCTCTTGACATCTCTGGCAGGACAAATGTGCCATTTGGCATCCTTTGGGGTGAAAAGTGCTGCAGGGAATGCAAGACATAAGCCTGCTTCTTGAGTGGTATAAATCATCCTGTTCCTGTCTTACACTTGGGAAAATGTGGCCTCATAGTGCTTTCCTCTCTGCTCCTGACTGACTGGAGAGTGAAATCAGAGAAGATCAGAGAAGTGCAGTCCCATTTTTAGCTGCAGGAGTGGGACAACCACAGGGTCCTGTGAGGAGCTGCTGAAAATCAGATGCTTCTCTTCCCTTCTCTCCTTTTTGTGTATTGTCTCCTCTGTAACAGCTCTTCTCCTGCTTTATTTAGATACATACCTGGTGCTGCTTCTCTCCATCCTTCTCCTGTTAACTTGACAGAGCCTTTTGTTAGCCATGGAGAAAAGGGAAACCTTTGCCATGGCAGATACACAGCACCTACCAACGTCCTCCTTGGAAATGCCCAGGCAAAGGAATTGCTGGGCAGGAGAGCAGCACTATGGAAGGGCCACACATTCTCTCCTGATTCCTTGGAGCTCTTTAGTATCTGTTCCATCCAGGTTTGTCTCAGAGATTCCAGGAAGGACACTTCTGTGGCAGTCCCAGCCAAGAGGATGAGCCAGCCTGTTTCACTGATGATGTGCAGTGACATTCATCATCTCCTCCATGAGCTGTGCTTCCAAAACCTGCCACAGAGAAGTCTGCAGGACACAGTGAGTGGGGCTTTGCCCAGCTCTGCAGCTTGCACCTCAAGCCTTGGGTCTCCATTTGCAGTTACCAACTGAGAATGATCAGGCCTACAACAGAAACTGTGCTGTTTACACACCGTGGCAAATGTGAGTGCTGTCCAGCCCTTGTGTTAATCTCCAAAATTACCAACCCCATGCTTCCAAGCAGAGGTCAGCTGGGTCCTGTCTATCCTTCAGTTCCCTCCCTCTCCCTAAGCAATCTCCACCACTGCATCAGACTCTGCTGATCCCCTTTGCTCCACCCCACATGGAAGCTTGCTCAGTATCTAAGTTCATATTCACCCCCTGGTATTGTAACCATAAGTAAAAACAAGATCAGTTAACTAAAATAACATCTTAAATGCATAAAACAACCAAGAGCAAGAAGACACATTGCTCTGTATTAACATGAGAACTATGAAAAGTTATTTTGCTGGTTGTTTAACTGTGTGTGCTGTCTGTGAAACCATATGGTAAAGTGCTCTGAGAATCACTGAGAAATAACAAGCCCTTGGGTTGACAAACTTTGTGTAATCTACCCTAAAGCATTTGCAAATTACCTTACTGTGGGTCCTTCAGCTGATGTTCAAAGTCAATGCTGGCTAGCAGGAGGATGAGGAGCCACCCTACAGCACCCCAGACAGAAGATCTCTGAAATAAATAGAA